CAGGGCTGGGCTGGCGGGGGCTGCGGGTCGGGAGTGAGGGACACCGGAAGGGCTGCGGGGGCAGGGCTGGGCTAGCAGGGGCTGCGGGTCAGGAGTGAGGGGCACCGGCAGAGCTGGGGGGGACAGGGCTGGGCTGGCGGGGGCTGCGGGTCGGGAGTGAGGGACACCGGAAGGGCTGCGGGGGCAGGGCTGGGCTAGCAGGGGCTGCGGGTCAGGAGTGAGGGGCACCGGCAGAGCTGGGGGGGGGCAGGGCTGGGCTGGCAGGGGCTGCGGGTTGGGAGTGAGGGGCACCGGCAGAGCTGGGGGGGCAGGGCTGGGCTGGCAGGGGCTGCGGGTTGGGAGTGAGGGGCACCGGCAGCGCTGGGGGGGGGGCAGGGCTGGGCTAGCGGGGGCTGCGGGTCGCGAGTGAGGGGCACCGGGAGGGCTGGGGGCTGCGTGTCAGGACGTAAATTCCATGATACATTTGTTTCCACCCCTCTCGTCGGTCGGAGATTTTTCTCTTGCACCTCTCAGCCCCCGGAGCCGGAAGCAGAAGTGACCCCACTGCATCCCAGAGCCAAAAATATCCCCGCTGGTTTTGGAAGAGACACCGCAGGTTATGCAACCCGGTTACCTCACCCGATAGACTCCCTGATGAGCCAAGATCTCTCCGTGCCAGCAGACGTCACCAACCCTCCCATCCTCCACCCTGCTGAGTCCTCTTCCCACAGCAGCTCGCAGCCTGGGGTCCCCTAGGAGAGGCCTCTTCCGGCCTGATTCCTACCGGCTGCGGCTGCCGATTAGAACAGCAGGTGAAACAGTAGTTGGTCCAGATCTGCCAGGAGATCATGACCCTTCCCCTCTCCCCAGAGGTCGCGCCCAACCCTGCTCCGTGACTTGCCCCTTCATTGGGTCTAGCTGGCGTTTGTGGCGGGTTCCCTGAAGCTACGTGGACCAAACCACCTTGTCTGACTGATCTCTGGGGGCCCCTCTGGAGCAGAGCCGCCTAGGGCTAGGTTGGGTTTGTGGTGGGTCCCCCGTGGGTACAAACATCTGAGCTCCCCACATCTCCTGTCTGGCGTGAACATTTCCAAAGCAGGGCTGTCCGGGCCCAGGTTTCTTTCAAGGTGAGTTACACAGATGCGATCTCTGGAGTGGAGCTTGGTGGACCTAGTTTAGGTGTCTGGTGGCTTTCCATAAGCTACGTAGACTTATCCCCCCACCCCCCGCCCCGGAGACCATGGGATGGGGCATTGCCAGTCCTGCTTTGATCTGAAACAACTTCCGAACACTAGATCCCAACCAAACCTGGGATTAAACGTCTCCTATTTCTTCCACGTGCGGGAACAGCAGAGACTTTCTTTTCTACCGCTAACAAACGGGCCTTTGTTTTGACGGCTACGCTGCAGCCTGGTCTGGGATCGGCGCTCCTAGCGCTCCTGCAAATAAGAATTCATAGACTCTACGCCCGGACAGGACTGTCGGGTCTGACCTCCTGGATAACGCAGGCCCTAGGACTTCCCTGAATTCAGGCCTACTCAAGCGAGAGCAGGTCTTTGAGGAAACCAGCCCGGCTTGAGTTAGGATGGAGACTGCACCGCGGCCCTCGGGGAATTGTTCATTCCCCCTCTCTGTTAAAAACCGACGGCTGAACTTGTCTAGTGGCGACTTCCAGCCAATGGCTGGGGCTTTGGCTGCTCCATCGCAGAGCCCGTGATCACGCAGCTGCTCCCCGTGTGGGCACTTCTAGGCTGGGATCACGTCACCCCCTTATCGGTCGCTTTGTTCAGCTGGACGGAGCTTCTGCTTTCCAAGCCTGGGATCGTTCTCCCGGCTCTTCTCGGAGCCGCCTCCGCTTTCCCAGCCTGAATTGCGGTCACGGGGCATCGTTCTCCCGGCTCTTCTCGGAGCCGCCTCCGCTTTCCCAGCCTGAATTGCGGTCACGGGGCAGCGGCCGAACTGCTCTGACTTGCTCTCCCTGTCCTTCAAATGAGGGCGCCTGGGGCGATTTCGCAAGCCGCGTTCTCCTGTTGACGGATGGTCGGGGACCAGCTGAGGTTGGCGCTATCCAGGTCAGGTGTGGTTTGCAATCGCTTCCTCTCCTCTAGGTCGCCTTCGGCTCGTCCGGGGGATGTGGTTGGACCCCCATCCGCTCCTTGGACCGAGCTCTGCAACCTGCCCTATCTCCGGTGCCCATCTGGGGTCAGCTCTGCGCAGGCCAAGCGCAGCTTGTGGTGGGTTCCCGTAAGTCACGTAACCTACAGCGAGTCCCATCTTGTGGGGGGCCGAGACGGCGGGGGGGTTGAGCGGAACAACAACAGGGTCAGCGCTGCCCGAGCGGGCTCCCGAGAAAAGCCACCGGCTGCAGCACAGTGGGGCCGGGGCTGAGGGCATGGGTTGGCGGGGGCTGGTTGGGTGCCGTGCGGCAGGCTGCTGATTTTCGGAGAGGGACAGGATGCGGGTTTGGTGGGTGGGAGACGGTCTTGCATAAGATGCTTGGAGTAGTCTGACGGGGCCTGGTTCTCTGGCACGGTGGGCGAACCTCAGAGGGGGAAGGGACGGGAAAGGGGGGAAGCCGATGGTGGCTGTCATTGCAGGAGGTGAGTTTGGGGGGGGCTGTGCCCCGCCCCCCGCCCCGTGACAATCTGCGTTCTTAGTGCATGCTGAACACATGCCAGCTGAGCGGGATGTGATACACACTGGGGGGACCTGATTTTGCACCAGTGTCAATGCACCATTTGCACTGATGGAAACGCCCTTCACGTGACCCCACGTCGCACGGCCGGCGAAGCACCATTTGCACGCCTTTTGCACGCATGCTTTGGCCCAGACAGAGACCCCCTCAGCGCGTAGTCCCCGTCCCCTTTGCACGCCCTGCACACCTGTCTTTGCACACCCAAAATTCACCAGTGTTCACCAGCAAACAGCCCCTCGTGTTCCTGTAAAGCACCCACATGCGGGCACCTTCCCAGCCCTCACACACGCCCAGAGCCCTGGCTGTGGGTGCTGAATGCCCAGCCGTGTGCATGAAACTGCCAGGCACACGGGCTGTAGCAGGCCCACCTGCCTGGGCACGCTTTGCCCCCTGTGTTTGCACGTGGGTGGCCTGCACACGCACGAGTGAAGCTCGATGTTGCCGGCAGAGGGACCGGTCACAGTGTAAAGCTTGCACGGCTCAACCCTTGCACGAGGCTTGAGAAATCCACTGTGGCATTATCCAGAACCGTGCACACATGTGCTTTTGCATTACGCTTGCACATGTGCAAGCCACCATTGCAGGTGAAAGACTCTCACACGCTTTACCCTTTGCACACACATGTCTTTGCCCTGTGCTCACATGTGTGTGATCTCCCCGGCACGTGAAAGCCTCTTGCACGCTTTACCCTTTGCACACACATGTCTTTGCCCTGTGCTCGCACGTGTGTGAGCCACCATGGCACAGGAACAAACCTTGCACGCTTTTCCGGGTTTGCACGTGTGCGACAGAACCCTACCCGGTTAAACCTCACCCCCGCCCGTTTGCACACCAGTAACCCCCCCCTTGCACACACGGGTCTGCCCGGGTTCACCCCCATGCTTGTGCCCGCAGAGAGTCGGGGATTCTGTCCGCCCGCCATGGCCTA